TGAACAGAAACAGAACTCCAATAGTTTTTTAAAACCTCATTTAGCTTGATTTAAAACAAATAAAGATATCAAATGACATTTTTAGACAGTTATAGGATATGCTTAGTTGAGGTTTAGCATTCTAGTTGCCGAGTTATTTTAACAATCAAAATATAGTTTAGTAAGAAAGTGTCAAATCTGGTGCATATTGAAATTGCACGGATTAAATTGTGTTGTAATTTGTTAGTAATTAAAGGGATTTTTATTGGAAAATGAAATTATATTTTACTTTTCTCTAATCCACTGACTTTGGAATGTAAATTCTTTGTAAAATGCAACTCTCCAGTGTTACTTTTACAATACAGAAAAATAATTTGGCATTTTCTTTCTTTGTGTTTTCTCGATGCTAATGAGGTAAAAATATATCAACTTTTCTCATTGATAGGAGAAATTTGAGGAATGCTTTTTTCATTTAGTTGCCCATTTTATCATTCATAGGAACATTTTGGGGAAGACAAGGGCACTTTTTTCTATTTATAACTGTTGACTCTTTATAAGGAGTGTACAGAATAGTGTAAGCTTGATATCACAGCTGAATGTAAGTATGGCAGTTTTGCATAATTACTGAGCAGAGAATTGGGAGATGTTTATTTCTTTAAATTTCATATACTACTGAATTATAATTTTGGACTAGCCTTTTACCTCTTCTACCTGATTTTATTATACGATCGAGGAAGATGACAGTGAAGTAAAACAATCTGATTTTTTCCTACAAACAGACTCACTGGCAAGAGAGGAGTGAGGATAGACTAGCCACTCTAAGCCAATTTTGTAAAATGTTTAGAGAAGGTTTTGCTTGTCTTTTGAACTTTTTATTGTGAATCAGGGATGAAGATTGACAGAATAGTCTTACATGAAATACTTCAGACAGTTTGTTGCCTTTCATTCACTGTAATCCCATCACTGTACCATCACCTACCACTCACTGTCCTGTTTCCTCTTTCCATTCCTCCTTCTGTCATGATCCTTCTAAACTTTGTCCTTGGGTCAGTGCCACCCTTTTGACCACATTGTGCTATTTTTCCAAGGTGTGCATACCTCAGTAGTGTTATTGTTCCCCTTTTAGGCCTGTGGATTGTTTAGCTGAAAATTGAGAGATGGGAGTGAGTTGAATTGCAGACCTGAAGGAGTGACTAAGGACCATGGTCTTGGGGTTCCACTAGTTTATTTCTTTCTTTTTTTTTTCTTTCTCACTTAACCTCAGGTGACCTTTAATGTAATTTCTATTTTTTTAAATAGTTTTATTAGGGGCTCATACAGCTCTTATCACAATCCATACATACATCAATTGCGTAAAGCACATTTGTACATTCATTGCCTTCATCATTCT